CCTGCCCCCCTCAGAACTCCCAACCCATCCAACCGCCCCCTCCTCCCTGACTGCCCCCCAGGACTCCCCGCTCCCTTACCCAACCCCCCCGATCCCCATCCCCTTACCAGCAGCAGGAGCTCGCAGCCACGACAGTCGTCCAGAGCCAGCTGCGCTCCCCACGCTCCCTCGGGCCAGAGCACGGCCTGCATGGCTACGGGGGAGGGACCGGGGACTAGACTCCCCGGCCGGGCAGGACGGTCCCGCGGGCCGGATATGGCCCGCAGGCTGTAGTTTGCCCACGTCTGGACTAAAGGAATGTCTACACTTCGAGCTGGGAGTGAGATTCCCAGCCCAAGGAGGAATACCTGTGCTAGCTCTGATCAAGCTAGTGTACAAATGTAGTGTAGCAGCCGGAAAGGCCGGCGGCTCGGAGTATGCGCCTAGCATCTTGGACAGGATCACACGCCGGGCAGTTCGCTGCTTGCACTGCTGCAGCGACACGGTTTGTAGCGCACAGGCTCCATCAGGGTTAGCGTGAGCAGGTCTCCTTGAGTTGGGAACCACCCCATACCTTGAGTGACATGCCCAGAGTGACACAGGGAACCAGGGCCAAGTCAGAGATTGAACCAAAGTCTCCGAGCTTGCCGGCTAGCATCATACCCACCGGACCACCCCTCCTCCTCTTGCCTGCTGAACTGCCGCCAAGAGACAAAATCCAAGGGCTGGCTGCCCTGCTCGGCACCCTCGGGTTTGGCCGGAAACATGAGCTTGCCCGTGGGAGACCCATGCAGGATTTCCCCAGGGACTAGAGCAAGGTAGAGGGGACTAGAGCCTGATCTTGCGAAAGGGGACGTTTTAGCAAGGACTCCGTCAGCAGCACCCATGTGACAGCAGGATGGCGCCCACGGAAATTGACATGGCAGCAAGGAACGAGAAGGCAGGCGGGGCGATTCGGCACGGATTGGCCAGGCAGCCTGATGCCCCGTAGGCAAATGCCCCTTTTGGAGACGCTCATGGGTCAGTGAGAGGGAGAAAGCCCATGAAGGCCTTTTTTCCTCCTCCTGCTTCTACCGCCAGGAGACACCCCCTTCCCCAGGCCAGATGGCTGCACTGCAAGGCCGTGACCCCAAGGAAGGGGGGAGTTAAAGCATGGAAAAAACCAGCAGAGAGGGGGGGAAGCAAGAGACCTTTGGGAACAGTGGGGTCCCACCGAGGGGGGGAATAAATGCACAAGGGATGCAGAGCATCAAACCCTCCTGTTCTGCTTAGATTTCCACGCAGATTGTCCACCCACCAGCTCATTGCCTAGTGTTTCTCCTCTAAAATAGAGGTATTAACCATTAGAAGGCCAGCACCTTCCACAGTGCCAGAAAAAAGGACTCCTTAGGAGGCTGTCTACGGGGCAGGGGGTGGGGAGAGGGCCTAACAGCTGACTTAAGGCTTTAGCACTAACAGTCTTACTTAGACCATTCCAGGGCCCAATCTCTCTCTTTCATAGCACTGTGACCTCACTGCAAGGAAGCTATGGCTGATTAGCCAGGGGTGTCATGTGATGTTTCAACAGGCTCCAAGCATGCTTTGATTAACAAGAGGCAGTATAGTCCAGTGGTCAGAGCAGCCAGTCAGCCTTTAGGGATCACTTCCCACCTCTGCCACCGACTGACAACATGGCCTAGGTCAAGTCACTTACCCTCTCCATACCCCGGCTCCTGCCCATCTGCCACAAAGGGACAACAGCCCAGGGCTTACATGACTATTGTGGGTCTTCATCACTGGGCGTTGGTAAAGAGCTTTAAAATCCTCAGGGAAACGGAGGGGGTGGGGAGTGGGGGATGTTCTGGAAGGAAAATTTGTTCTTTAGGCCACTGTCATGCACGCGGTTTGGTGCGGGTAGACCCTGCACCTGCATGGAGCCCTGTTGACCCACACATAGGATGCAGGATCAGGCCCTTAGCGGGTGGCTGTAAAACCATCTCTGCGAAGGCTACGCTCTGCCTTCAGCCCAAGGAAGGGTTTTAGCAGCCTGGGTCTCTCTCGCTGCACACAACAGCCCTCGAAGCTACACGAGGCATCGGGGGGAGACATTTCACGTTCCGCTCTGCGGCTGAATAAAAACGCAGCCGGACACAGGCAGCGAAGACGACGAGACAGGTGGCACTGGAGCCCGCTGGGGCCTGCAGGCACGGGGGCTGTGCAGAGAACGGGTCCTGAGCCAGATCAGCGTCCACTGCCCGAGCAGAGCAGGAACGTTATGGATCAAGTGGAGAAAGGGAAACCAAGAGACACGCTCGCGGGCTGCCTTCAGCGAGGAACGTGGCAGAGCCCGCACCTGTCAGGAGGCATCAGCAGCCCAGGGGTCGCTGCAGCAGGCCAGACAGGCAGTGAGAGAGGGAATCGCTCCCAGGCCTGCCTCAGAAGCAGCAGTTACATGCCAGCCCTCTCTGCCAATTAGCACGGCTGGCAAAGACACTCGGCAGGGGCCTACAGAAGGGGAGGCAAAGCTGGTTAAAACTGCCTGCCCTACCCAGCGTCTGAGCTCGGCTTTCACAGAGCCAGAGCCCGGGGAGCACGGAGGAAGTGAATGATAAACCAGAAGGGCCAGGATACCACAGCCACTCAATGCCCTTGACTCTTCCCAGGTCAGCCAGGGCCAAAGACACTCAGCGCCTCTAGGATCTGGCCCTGAGCAATGGCAGCTCGTCCTCCAGAGCTTTCCCGACTTTTGGTTTACAGTGCAATCCACGCAGCCCTGTGATGGCAGGGCTCTCATATATAGCTTCACTCATCACAAGGGGCACAAGCACTTTAAATTCCTACAGGCCGTACCGCATCAGACCAGTGGTCCATAGTCCAATATCCTGACTCTGACAGAAGCCACTATCACATGCTTCAAAAAAAGCAAACCGTAACCCTTTTCCTCCACCACATCCCACCATCATGGAGAAGTAAGACGAGTCTCTAGGCCTTATTTATACATCCCCGTGTGACTCATGGAGGCAATGTGATCAAGTGAGGACTTGAATCAGGACTCCTGGGTTCTATTCCCAGCTTTGCTGACTGTGCAACTTCAAACAAGTCATATCACCTCTCTGTGCCTCAGTTTCTCTCTGTGAAATGGGTATAATAATATTTCTCTCACACACACACACTCACAAAGCGCTTTAAGATCTATAGGTGAAGAACACTAGTTACGAAGGTTGGATCTGCCCTTTAGACAGATTTTGACCCTAGCACAGCAGTGCGGTAGCAGGGCACCAGCAAACTCAGTTGTTTCTCCCTCCACATGTCTTTCTTGTCCAGTTAATGTCCAAATCCTTACGGTCCCTCTCCTGCAGATTTCCTCAGCTGTCATATTTCAGGGCATCCCTGCTATTAATATGGAATCCTATTCAAATTCAGTCTCCCCACACACACACACAAAAAAAGAAAGTTACACCCTACTACTGACTTCACCCCACTACAATCCTAGGCTCGGATCTTGTCTCCACAGAGTCCTGTTCAACTCAGTGGAGTTCTGTACAGGGCTCCACTGGCCAACGGCAGAGCAAGGGCCCTGCCCTGAAGCGAGCTCACCTCCACTGAAGTCAGTGGAAAGACACTCACTGATTTTGGGTCAGAGCCTAGGGAACAAATGGCAAAAGGCACTCTGCAGGAAGCCGTGTGATGTAGGATTCATCTCCTTAATGCAAGAGATTTTCTACGGCCTGGGCTCTCAGGGCTGGAGTTTCTGATGGGCAGTAACAGCTATTTGCAAGAACAGAAAAGAGGAAGAAGACAGCAGCTTTTTGTGGGGGTAAACTGGAGTCGAAGGGAAGTTGAGAAACGCCTGAGCCACTGTGCTGGGACTTATGGTCTAGTACCAAGCCATTAACATTTTGCATATTAAAGACACCCCAATCCTCAATACACTAGTTGGGTTTGGTTTGAATAATGTCCCCCCTCACAGTGGCATCAGAGCACATTGCCAGGATGATATTACCGAATCACACATTTCACCTGGGTTCAGACTCTGCTACATCCAAGTGACACCAGACCCAACACACAGCAGGTTGGAAAAGGGCAGACAGACAGGGGGAAAGCACAAGGGCGCACAGGGGTCAGACACTTTACCGGCAGCCTTCCTGCAGATGCGGATCGGATGGTTTTGATTTCAGGTCCATGAGGGGTAGCGTAGAGACAGCTGCCCCTGGATGCGGGGGCAGCCGCCAGACTCTGCGGGTACAGCTGCGTGAAATAGCTGGCCGGGATGGAGTGCATCTGGGGGCTGCTGAGGCTGGAAGTCACCAAGTCTGCAGAGCTCATCACAGGCATGACTTTCTTTTGCTGCTGTTGCTGGGGGAGGCAGGCAATGGCGCAGCCCCCCCTTTCTGGGGCTGAAGACACTCCCTTGACTCTCAGCATTGTTCAGCCATTTAAAACAGGGCGTAGCATGCAGGATCAGTGAATGGCCCCCAGTTTCCAGTCTGAGGCTGTCTTGGGGGAAAAAATCAAGCCGGAATTTTTGCAAGACTGCATTGGGGGGGAGGAAATCACTAAGCCAGCCCCAGTCTAGCCCCCTCCTTTCTTCGTGGAAGATCCTGTAGCTGACCGGCCCGACTTTGCAGCTGGCTGTTTTGAAACCAACACACACAGGTCGAAGTTACTGGTTGTCTCAAGGGGACCGGGGCTTTGCAGCGCTCAAACGCCCGTTCACTGCCCCCAAGCCTGGTAACGTGCAGGTGATTGCCGGGGCCGGTGACTCTCAGCTCCCAGAGTGGGAATCGACTCCCACCCAAGCGTGGTGCATTTTGAAAAGGGAATAATAAAATCACCCCCCTAAATCGCTGCTTTGGCGGCTCCTGGTCCCGAGGCCCCCAGCGCGGGGGGGTGGAGCAGCATCAAGCCAGGGGGAGCTGCGCCCCCAGCCCGGGCCCTGGATCAGGCCGAGGCCTCGCCACTGGCTCGCAGGGAGCGGCTCCCCCTTGCAAAGCTGGTGGCTGCCTCCCGGCGGGGCTGCAGCGAGCCGGGGCCGGGATGGGGCCGGATTGGAGCGGGGGCGATGGCTGCGGAGCGGCCCCGGTTCTTTCTCTTTCCCTTTCTCCCGCGGCTCCGCTCGCTCCTTCGGGTTTTTTTTTTTTTTTTTTTTTTTTTTTTA